ATATCTGAATCTTATTTTGTAAGTATAATATTCAAAAATAATTATTCTTTTTTCACAAAATTAAAAATTTTGAGGTTCACTATCCAATATTTTTGAAAGAGTAATGCCTAAACATATAGGTGGAAACAAACTTCCAATAAATAATTGAGTTTATTTACAACACTGTGCTTTCCATAAAGCCATACACCTAACCTTTATTTCTTGTATTTGCTGGTCCAGCCCCCCTATATCTGCGTATGTCTCCTGCGGCGCTTTATCTAACTTCATTACAGTTACCATAGGGTCTGTGTCATCTGATAGAACTCCTATCACTGCATGAACCTGAAATAAAAACCATTTAAAAACAGCAATCAGTACAAACTGAAGGTCAGTTTAACCAAATCATCTAATAGCTGGATTTCAACGGTTCTTGAAAAAAACTTTAAACTGAAGAGAAATAGTACCTCACATATCTAAGCTTCTTACATTCATCTTAATTCATACAAAAAGATTTTTCAATAATTCCTTGAAAATTACACATGGTAACCAGATAAGTGCAGCAGACGTAAACCTAGGTTTAAAAAAAAAAACTCTGAACATTGAATCTCAGACAAGACGAATATCGAGAACCATCAGAATTGAATTTTAAAAATGCAGAATTCCGTGTTTCCATGGAAAAAGCTCATGTCTGGTGCAGACCTCCACCAAGAAAGTTCAATTCTCATTATTTTTTATGAATGATAAATTGTGGTAGTTGAGATCACATCCATTGCACAACACAGTAACAAGTGGTCTAAATTCCTGGATCCAGATGGTAATCTGGACTGCTACCAAAAATCCATTCACTCTTCAGTTATCCCATTACTGAACCTATCATGAAAATTTCATCAAAATCCACCCAAAACTTTTTTTAGTGAGATTGGGGACAAACAATCAGAAGGAGTTGAAAACATAATCTTCTTGTACTTGATAATAAAATTAGTTATATTAAACAGGGAAGAGACCAGTCCTCACTGAAAAAGTAGAAAAATTGGCCAGGGGTCCAGGGTACATGATTCACAAAAATGACCCAAATGAACCTGAAAAAGTCTGAATTCTAACAAAAGTTGGAAAAGTCTCATCAGTGTATTATAATGAAATCACAGTTGTACATACTTTGTGATTTAACAGGACAGAGCAGCCTGGTTCCAGAGCATCTTTATCCACAAAGGAGAGAATGCTGACGTAATGTTCACTGCCTACAGATGTGGACACAATAGCGTGGTTATCGTCTATGATCTCCTCCAGGTTACCCACTGACATAGGTGTGCCGCGGAGGTCGTCCACCTTGGACCGTTCCTCCTAAAAAACAAAGAAATAGTTTTATTAATATCATTGCCATTAACAGGATGACAGTCTGAATTGGTTTTAAGTTTGCATGATGAGCAAGAGATTCTTTTGCCATTTTCAACTGACCACTATTTCTTCTTCCAAGCTTTACCCTTGATTTTTTTTAGTTTTCATCAAAACATTTACATGATTTTGGTTCAAAAAGATAGTCTCCAACTTTTTTTATAGCTTGCAAAAAAGAAGGAATAAACAACCACATGTTATAAATAATGACATGATACTTACCATAGGAACTAGAATCTTTCTATACAACCACTAGTATATAAAGTATAACTGTGTCCTTAGATTGAAATGCTTGTTATAGCATGCATGTTAAACAGAATATATATATATATATATATATATATATATATATATATATATATATATTATAAGGTGCCTCAGATTTGCTGGCTTGCTTGTGTCTTACATTTGACTTTGCCCTTGAAGAGAACAAACTATATCACCATCTTGGATGTTTCAGAGACATAGTTAAAAACCCTCATCAAACATAATCACCAACCACTGTCCATACCAACCTCTTGCTTTTCTTCTTGGGGTTTGAGTCTTTCTTGATTTCTGAGAAACTCTTCCTCCATTAGCAAATAGTCCTTGATACGCTCTAGTTTCAGCAACTTTAATCGACATCTTGTGTGGGGTGTAACTGCATTGAAGAATGTTATATTATATCAATTTCCACTGTCATTACCAATTCTCTTTGTATATAATTATGGTTATGAGGCGAAAATGCAGTAGTTTATTGGATGAGAATACCATCACTGATCAGGGGAACAAAAAGAGTGTCAAAATAACCCAATTCAGATTAATTTACTTTGACATGAAAAACACTCTTGTACTTATTGATGTACGATAAATTCCATAGCCTGTGCCAAGAATTGCAATTACAGTTATTGAAACAATTTCTGCCTAATAAGTAATAATGTAAGTGAGAGTACATTACCTTGTGGTAACTTCATAGCAGCATCAGGTCCTTTCACCTTTTTCTTCTTCTTCCCCACCCTTGTAGGGATTGGGGGCTCATATTTTCTCTTTTTATCCTAGGGAAAAATCACATGTACATGTACAAATACATGGGATTTTGTAACTTATAAATGAAATGCTGATCAAAAATACATTGAAAACAAACTTGCAACTGGTCAACATTAACTTCAAGCCATTTTTTTTCTTGGGGGGGGGGATGAATATTAAACTGCTAAAAATAATGATGCAACATCTGTTCCAGTTATTGATTGGTTCAATTCTCAGGAACAAAATGACTGGCCCCATATAACTGGCATTACATTAACTATTTCATACAATTATTCAGCACATTTACCTTGTCATCCTTCTTATCTCCATCTCTTCCTGCTCCAGCTCCAGACTGGTTCTGACCCTGAAAACAGAACAACAAAGTTTCTTAAGATTGAGCCTGAATTAGTTGTGACAGCACCGTATATCAATAGTTTAGGTATATCACAATCCACTAGGAGCGCCACAGTAGTAACTATCCAGGGGCAGTGAAGTGCAAAACTGAGACTGGCCTGCTATCAGCTCGCCTATGACAAACTTTTTTTAAATCTCTCTTTTAGCACCGTGTTAATAAACAAATAAAAGCCATTTACTAGATAAGCTGTAAATCAAAGAGTAAATTCCGGTCACGTGATTTTCCGTGTTGCAGTCTTAGAGAACTTTGATTTGAGGACGTTTTTAAGTTTTGCCTCGACAAAATGTTAAAAAATTCAGATAAGTACTACATGGAAGTTTTTGTAATTTATTCTGTGTAAACTACTAAAGTTAATGAAATTTGCAATTTTATGCTAAAAAATCATGAAAATTAAACCATGCGAAGTATAGTTTATTTGATGCGCAACATTTATAGTACATGATCTGCACCGAAGCCATCCCAGCCATGTGATTGTGCAGTCGCCAATTTGGGTTAGTTTTTGGGTCATTAGATTAACATAGAGCCCTAATTGGTCATAAGCATTTTGAGCTGCAGCTACAGCTGAGTGATTACTGCTGGTCAGTGGTCATGGGTCTTTAGCTGAAAAGTGTGGACACTTTTGGTGAAATTTTGCAGTTAAAATACTTCAATATCTATGTTGCTTGTAGGAATATTTTAAAAATAAAATTTTAAGAATTCATCTGTTTTTTGCATTACTTTTCAGAAGATATAAGTATTTTAACTTTCTGATCAGTTTGAAAAATTTTCTGATATACCTAAATAGTTTCAAAAGCAGACTTGAAAAGACCTTCCACTCTAACTGCGATGAACCCCCACACTCCAGGGATATGGCTACAATAACTCACAATAGAACCAAGGGAAACAAACACAAGAGAGCCGACAGCTGGGGCTCTTGGGTGAGTATTTTGACGTGACCCATCATAGGTTGCATAGGTAGGCAGTTGCAAATGTGATTCAGCAAAAAATTGGAGAAAAAATCGGGAGACGAATTGAACCGGCATTTAAAAATATCTTCTATTACCATGAATATCTAACCATTATTTCAAGTTTAGTTCAGAAAGTACCAATCCGAAACTATGTTATCACTTTTAAGCTTTCACTTTAAAATAATTTCAATGGGATACTACAACCAAATACACAATAACAAATTAGAGCGTACTCACCATTATGGAACTTCCACTCTAAATACATGTGCGCATGTCCCAATTCTTTGTCGNTTTCTTAGTCTCTGCCGTTGTAACACAATTTAACGGAAGACCGGCAGACCATTTAACATGAGTGCACATCAAAACAGATCATAGTTAGTTTTATTGTTACGTTTTATCTTGTCAGTTGACGTTTATTTCAATTGAAGTTAACAGCCCTTTTATAATAAAAATAAGTTTATTGAGCACTAAATGGTATGAATACATTTGCAGGCTCACTAGACTACATTATTTACACAATATATATAAGTATATAATAATATTTATATATAAGTAGCAATGGCGGGCCAAGGGGGTGGTGTGGGGATCAAAGCGGGCATGCGACACTCTCTTTGCTTCTGAGGTACTCTCTTCTCCCACCACCTGCAGTATTATGAGCAAAGCAAGGTAATACCAATCAATTTTCTATTCCCCTTTTCACCCTACGTTTATTTATGAAATACACTGTAAAATCGCCCTCGTCTACCGTTTGATAATCACATTGGCTCGGCAAATTTTTTATCATATTGTCCCTCCTAACAAAATCATAATAAAAATATGATATTTGCGATCTTTTTACATTTTCGCAATTTTGAGAACGCGTCCGCTAGCCAGTGTGTCAAGGAAAATAAGAGAGAGCGCCCTGTAGCAAAATTCTGGATCCACGCGTGTACATATGTCAGAACGTCAGATTTCGCATAAGCTTGGACCCAGGATTTATTGAAATGCTATTTTTATCTTATGGTCCCTCACTTTTATTGTAATATACAAATGGCTATACTGTTCCACCAGTGCCCACCACACAAGCAGAGGTGCACTAATGGTCCTCTCCAGTGTGCTAGTTGAATTAAAAAGCAATGCTCTGATTAAAATCATCGGACATTGCGTTAGAGGTGATGCACACATTCGGTCTTTTGCATCGACTTGTTTTGGGGGTGGGGTATTAAAAGCAGTCAAGAAATTCTAAAATTAAATATGTTTATTTACATATCACAATACAACATTTTACTAGTATGGTCAGTGTTTTTATAATTATTTCGGCATGTAAGTTAAACCTATGAGGGGTTTGGATTCAATTCATGGTAGGAATCGGTAAAATATCCACTTTGTTAATTACCCAGGTCTTGAGATTTCAGATATCATACCTTGGTTTGATTAACTGTGAGAAAAAATGATTTAAAACACTTTACACAATAATAATGAAACAAACATCTCTTGCTCTTATACTGATGATAAAATGGAGAAATTGAATATTTAGTAAAAAAAAAAAGTGGCATTAAAGAAGGTTTACAGTTTGATAAAATAAAAATGGTCTACTTCAACCCAGTATTTGATAAAAAGATATGTATTTAACATTAAGATGTATTTGTAATAGAGTTTTGTAAAAGAAGACAAAACAGAAGTGCACCTAGAACACAAGTAACCCTTCCCACTGAGCAGAATACTCATTTTAAAACAAGAGCTCTAAAAGGCAATGTCTTTCTACGTGCATCACATTCTACATGCATCACAATATGGTCAGTATCCACCATTTACACGAACGAAGAGAATTTTGATTATCTGCCATTACTGTTTGAAACTTGCATATCAAATTGCAAATATACAGATATAACATTGCTTTTTCAAAAAAAAAAAAATGTTTGGCACAGTTGCCCCAAAATAACAATGATATAACCTCCCATTTTTATATGATTTCTTATTTATGCGATTGAAAGCTATAAGAATCAGTTAGGTGAAACTGATCAAATTTCTTAAATTCATATAACATTCATTTGTATGAATATTATTTTTACCTGATGATATTATATGACCAAACTTCTGATTTACGTACAAATCATTTACAATATTTTAAACAAAATTACTCATTTGAAAGAAATGACAGTAGGCAACTTATCTGATACATTCACATAAATTAGGATTACCAAAAGGAGAAAACATTGCAATTTTGAGCGAGTCAAATGCAGACTTAAATGACTATCATATTTGTACATTAAGTCTTTGCAGTGACCTTGTTAGAGGACAGACAATAGTGTAGGGGTACTTAGGTATGTCCACTTTCACATTTTTCTCCCTTAGTTTACACAAACTTTGCTCATTAATATCCCTGCATTCTCTTATCTGCAGTGCCTTCAGGTCCCTGCAATACTCTGCTAGAAGTCTGAAATGAAGAAAGATGCCACATTTTTGTAGTGCTTCAACATCTTTTATTTCATTAAAGAAATGATAATTGGTGCAGATTTTCAGTGTGTGTGTGTGTGTGTGTGTGTGTGTGTGCGTGCATGCGTGCGTGCGTGCATGTGTGTGAGTGAGTGAGTGAGTGAGTGAGTGAGTGAGTGGAGCAATTAAAGAGTGCTATATAGTTTATTTAGGCATAACGTGTCTCTTCTAAAAAATAAGCTAACTAAAAAGAAAAATATACAGCAACATTAAAAGACTCTGATGATGGCTTAATGTACAATTGTGTCTGCACAATCAAAAAGATATATTATTTCTAATACAGAGTGTTTTACTCATTGAAACTTGTGTTTTGTTTACTTAACACATGCATCTAAAAAATGTTAAAAACCTAACAAAAACTTACATCACAGACTCATTGGTCACCCTCCAACAGCCAGTCATGTTTAAATGCTTCAGTCGTCTACAGTAGCTAGCTACATTTGCTATTGCATGATCCGTCACGCCATAGATCTTTGCTATGGACAGGAATTCCAGTCTAAAATGCAAAATTGAAAGAGCAAGAAGGCAAGAATGTCACATTTCATAAATTTGAATGAATGTATGAGTTTAATATTTTCTTTGAAACAAAGCAGCTGTATCAAGTATGAAGCCATTAACAAATAGAACATGCAAACAAACAATAAATCAATGAGCATGACTTACTGCTGACAACACATTGCCATTGTCACTACAGCCTCATCATTTAGGTTCCAGCATCCAGACAAATCTACATGGGTTAGTCCTCTGCAGTGTAGAACCAGGTTGGTGACAGCCACTACACTCAACCATATACACTCCCTCAGTGTGATACGACACAAGTTAGGGCAATGTAAAGCCAAGATACGGATACTCTCATTAGTCAAGCGAGTACAGTTACTTATATCTATAAGTAAAAGTCGGCTGTTTCTTTGCAGCACTGGCACAAGGAGTTCATCAGTCAGCCAGTCTTTAGAGTTTCTCAAGTTTAATTCCTGTAAGTTGCTATTGTCATTGGTCATGATTTGAAAAGCAACACCATTACATCTGGCTGCTATCCTGCTAAGGTTGAGACATTTACTGGTTTGGAAATAGTATGTGATACACTCATGAAACTGCTTGCTTACTCTCCTAAGGCTGAAGAGTGTCTGTACTGCCAGGTTGGGAAACACCTTCTTGAACAGAACATCTTCCCATGGAAGGCAATCCAGTATGGAATAGGATGGAGGCCTGAAAAGAAATGTAGTTTCTGAGATATAGATATAGGTATCAGTAAAAAGAGCCCATGTGTCCAGAAATAACATATAACCCTACAGAAAATAGTGAGTTAATATATGAAAATCACTTAGGAGTAAAAATTTAAATATAAATTCTCCAGGTATTCCATGAGGCAATGGGGGATAAAAGAAATCTTCATCAGTTTTTTTAAACAAGTGCTGAATCATTGTTGCCTCTGAATAATCCTTAGCTTTTTTTTTCAAATTTTTGATCCAACTTTTTATGTACCTCCACTGGTAAAGGGTTTAGAAAATTCTTGCATAATATTTCCTTGTCCAAATTAAATATTTCAATGTACCAAATATTATTTTAATTCATTTAAACAATTAATTTTTTTCAAAGGAACAAAAGGACAAACCAAGGGAAAATGCCATATTGTTGTTGAGATGATATCAGAATTGTGTCTAAAATAGTTTACCTTAAATAACCATCACCAATAGATGTGAATATTATTTGTTAAAAATGTGACTCCAGCACTGTTTTTGTCCATTTTATATGTTCAGTTTTATTCTTGGCCCTCTTCAGAAATGGCCTGCATATGCACAATTCATTCAAAGTGTGTACACTTTTCACTGCTACTATTTCTACTACTACAACTACACGGTACATGTACTAGTACTACTACTCCTGGGGCTACCACACCAGATCAAACCAGTTTGGCCATTCTTACAGTTGGTCATCCATGCACTTTGCCTTAGAAATGGGGAGATAGGGTGACTCTACTGAAATGCCACCCCCCTCCCCCCAACAGAAGTGATTAATATGAAGTTTGAATTAATCTCATGAAGTCTGACAAGTTTAAAATAGAAGTTAATGCAATCCGCCATGTTTTTTATGGTGTTACCTCAACTTGCCAGTGGTAAGGTATGTGACATCAGCCTGACTGTAAGAATTGCATCATTTGACATTACATGTAGGTCAGTTATTCATCTAAGCTCAGTGCAAGGTCTCACAATGTTTAACGTCATATTTAACACTGTTGACATGGGGTCATGTCGATACTCCCCTGCACCATTACTTCCCCCGCACCGATACTCCCCCTCAGTATCGAAGCAATGGTGTGGGGGAGTATTGGTGCGGGGAAGTATTGGTGCGGGGATGTAGCAGTGCAGGGGAATATCAGTGCGGGGACGTATAGGCATGTAACTGTTGACAGGCTACGTACCTATACTCCCCCGCACCGATACTCCCCCGCTTCTTTACATCCCCGCACCGATACTCCCCCGCACCAATACTCCCTCGCACCGATACTCCCCCGCTTCTTTACATCCCCGCACCAATACTCCCCCGCACTGATACTCCCGCGTACCGATACTCTGCAAAAACACTACTCCCCCAAGGCATAGATTCCCTTGGCTTTGTAAACCCCATTCGTAATTTACAACACTTTCT